TGTTTTTTCTTATTCTGTTGCATGGCGTAATAAGCACCACCTGTCCCTGTGCATTGTTTTACTTTGCATTTTCATGGGATTCATCAGTTTCTGGTTTCATAGTTTTCTCCACTTCTTTTCCAACCTTTTACCTCATTGCAGCTTCAGAACAGTCTCTTGTCTCCAGTGCCTCATCTCTCTCTAACCGCTTCCTGTCCACTCTTTCTAAGGCTGGTTAGTCATGTCTTCAGATTCCCTCGTGAAAAGCATCTTGTCATCTCGCTACTTGCCAGTTTCATCTTGCCACCCATATCCCAGCCTATAGCAGGAGCCAAGCTGTTAGTCTTAATACTTAACCCTCCTTAGGAATTTTCCTGCTCCAATATAAGCTTTTTATTCTTGCCCTTGTGCAGATTCCTCACACAAGACAACCAGGAACAGAACGCCACAGTGTGTACTGAGTGACCAACAGACTCTCAAGAAATTCTTTTCTTTTTTTTTTTTTGCCAGGAAGGACATTTTTGTGCCAGTTTGAGCCTCATAGTGGCTCATTTGCTTTTTTTTCTGAATGTAGTAGTTTTCTGCTGCGGGGCGCAGCGAGCTAGTGGAACTGTGATCAATGGCGAGTGTATGTAGAGAAAACAAGAGAAGAAGCGTGTGGACTGTGGTCGTGGTAGTCTGTAGTCCCGTCGTTGACCATTGACCATCTACAGTACAGTAGATTCCAGGCTTGGTTTTAGAAACCCGATCCATGTGTCGTACGGATCCCCCCTGCCCCGCCAACTGATTCATCAGCTTACATACTGACAAGCAAATATAATGCACATGATCATGCATACATGCACATGACCACACAACAACATGCGCCTTCTCTCTACAACCCTGTCCCTATAGAGATCAGTGACCTTACTGAACTTGAGGTGCATTCAGCTATATAAGGAATATATACTGTATCTTTCTGGTGCATTTTGATGACTGTTTTTACATTTTCTTCTGTGGCATATCATTGTACTTCAAACTAAAGATGTCTTTCAAGTCAATACATGTGATAAAGAAAACGATTTTTATTAGCCAAGAATCCGAGTTGAAAGCACCTCCGATTCCCGCCTGAATGTACAGCAGCTCCACATTGCTACTTTGTATCAGTTGCTCACATTACGGAAATATCAACTTGGTCATTTTCAAATGGAAAAACAAATTATGTTTTGTAACATTTTTAGGATTGAAATTGCATTGATACTATTGTTATTATTTCCTGTACTGTTTTAGAATTGTAAATAAGAAATATTAATATTTAAAATGTTTGAAATGTTTCTTTTTATAAAATATACAATATATAAATATTTGTTTAGCTGAATCTAAAAAAAGAAGACAAACTAAAGTTTTATGTATAACATTTAAATAAAAATTTGTTAATGTCCAAAATTCACGATTATACGTGATGTTCTGTTGCGTGTCTCTGTGTGGAAATAGCATTAGCCCAGGTTTCCAGTCATGTTGAATGGGCTAAAATAGCTTTCTCAAACAAACCTGTGCCTTGGCTACAGCTGTGCACAGCAGCCCTTCGTATCCTGGCCGTTGGTTCTGAGACTGGGCGGAGTTAGAGCAAAATCACTAGCTCAATAAAGCCTAATCTGAGAATCTTGTGCACTCCTCTGTTGCTATCGATTGTCTCTGCCTGACAAGACAGCCAACACATTTCTATCTCTGTCTCCTCACTCTCCACCTGTGGCCCCACCTCTGAGGTGCAGGAGATTGAGTTTCACTGACCTTCTATACCCTCTTCTTCACAAACTCCTTCCCTTTCAGCCAATCAGCATTTCTCTCCTTGTCAACAACATCTCTCCCACCTCCCTCCCCTGTGAACCATAAACAGGGGCTGATTGGGTTTCTTTCCCCCACCCGACCGGCCTGTGTGTGCCCTCCCAGTGGGCTACACTCTGGAAGGGTCAGGTTGCTCTGATCCAACATCATTCAGTCCAGTGTCACACTCACCTGACAGCTAATGGCTCTTCCTGACAATCATATGTGATTTTAAACCATCCTGTGCAGTGTTATACCTCACTTCATGTGGGAGCCAGGTCAGCTCAACTATAGGTGTGGTCACACATTGTCTGGTCTGTTCATAATTATTATAACCTGTGGCCACATGAGCTCCATTGTGGCAGTCCTCAGGGGTGTGCATCACAATTAGAACAGATCTGGCTCCTTCCTAGGTTTATCTTTGCTGGCAGAGGGAGGACATTGTAATCCCACAGAAACATATAGGCATTGGAATGGGAAGAGAGAGGTGCTAAAAAATCTGATCTGTCTATTCTTTGGCTAAAACGTGAAGTTACATGCTGTAGAAAAACAGTCAAAACTTCATAGCTTTTCAAAGTTACCGTGGGTAGGTTTAGTAGGTCTGCCGGCATTCAAGCTCTTGTGCAGCCCATATTTCATTTCCGACCCCTGCTTAGTTTTCCTGAAACTGGACGCCGGGGCTGATAAATAAAACATCCTTTGTGTGCTGCTCTGGCTGATCACCGGAGCCCTCTCAGCTGTATAAGTGCTGAAACGCCACACAATCTGCCCCAGAACAAGATCCTGACTGAGATTCAGACACACACGCACACAACAGCGGCAAAGGCAAGAGCGCACAGCAGAAGGACCACAGAGGCCTCGGGGAGCAGCATGTTAAAACCCCAGGAGCACGGTGAGCTTCTCCTGCACGACTTCCCGCCGGTGTTCGGGAAGCCGTGGTTCTGGCAGCGCAGCAGCAGCACCATGGAGAGCACCCGCAGCCTGGCGCAGGTCATCATGGAGATGCGCGATGAAATCAAGAGGCTGGAGGCAGAGAACCGAGTGCTGCAGGGAGACAACAGTCAGCGGTCATCTGGGGTCGTGCATGGGGAAACCAGTCCGGTGTGTTCACCGGCAGAGCAGCGGGAGGGAATGGAGGAGAACCCGTACGGGAACCTGAGGCGAAATGCGTCTGCGCCGGTGCTGGAGGGACAGTACAAGGGTAAGAGAAGAAAGCAGAGGGACTGGTGGAGCACAGGTGGCTGCTTTAAATCCTGTAGCAGTCTATACCATTTTAGTACCACAACAACACTAAAAGTCAAATGAAACTTTAGGGAAAACTTTATTCCTAACACTTAATTCGCGTCATTCCCACTCTGGGATGTCTCCCACAACCTATATGTATGTGAACACAACATATATAAACAATGGAGGTAGGAATAACATTTTAAAGGTGCATTACAAAAATTTAAAGATACACATTAAAAGATTTTAAATAGTTAAAACCTAAGCAGCAAGAGCTGCCATATCCTGATATTACTCATTTGTATGGGTCAAACTCCAAAAACAATGGATCCCATAACTCCCATAATCCAATCAATGGGCTGTTATTGAAACATTTTAATTAAAAAGTCATAAAAACAGTAGCAAAATGTGATGAGGGGGCATGAAAACCATATGTGGACAGTTATTGGATTTTAAAATTGCTATAGAAAAATCCATAGTGTTTTCTTTATGCATCTATGCACCATCTAAATTATTCCATTCCAACGCATCCTGTTATTTCCCAGAGAACACTGTCATGACTGTCCGAAGGTACTCTATAAGCTCTAACCTGTCTGGGGTGACCATGAGAGAGGGAAGGACTGACAGGATGCGGCAGAGCGACTCTGGATGGGGAAGACTACATGAAGAAATCCAGCGTGGGAATGGTAACTCATCTGGAGGAGAGGTGGGAAAAGTTACTAACAGGCACTCCCTGCAGGAATACGTACACAAAAACAGGTACTGAGAGGAACTTTACATCCTGTAAATGTGGCTTTAAAGCAACATTTTTGGATAAAGTTTGCTTTTTAACAGAGCAGATGTTTGGAAGTTAGTTTCTTCTTACTAGGTTTATACAACATATACCAAATTTTACAAAGTGGCAGCTTTGTAGCTTAAGAGTTCTTGTGATTTCTTTGACCTTTTAGGGCCAAGGTAAAAACAGTCACATTCCTTCTACCCGTGGATGATATTTACACCAACCGGCCAGTTCTAACCAAGTATCAGGAGGAGCCTAAAATCACTGAGCTGGCCTCCATAACTGAGACTGACTCTTGAGAGAAGAACTTTTGAAGACTCTGGACGAAGCCATGGGACTAAGTGCAGACACGAAGTGAGCCTGAAACAAGCTCGCTTCTTCGTCTAGATCAGTGTAGACTGGACTCTTAATGAGCAACCAGCAGACTGATTTTTATCACACCTGACCACACAAACAGAAGACTCTGGTTACTGGTGTTGTTTTCATCGGGCCATGGCAATCAGAGGCCTGGTCAGCAGTGATGTGACAGACTGATTATTTATTCATCCTTCTTTCTTTTTACATTATAAACTGAAATGAGTAGTTTAGGGAACATATGACCGCTATCTTAAAGAGTGATTTGTTGTCCATATCACACACTCTTCTTTCATGAATGGCAGGCTCCTTGTAAACAAACCACTATTTTGCACAACTTAATGAAAATTAAAATGAGATACCTTTAACAGTGTTTATAAGCTACTATACCTGTGATGTATGTACCATTAAGCTCTGCTCTCGTCCTTATTGTGGATCAGCATAAATAATACAGTATTATCACATTTTAAGTATTGATGAGAGGACACACAGCAGCATTTTGTGTTGTGAAAACAATTGTCACTACACTTTTAACTAGGTAAAGTGGTCCACAATCATAAGAGGTATATTTACTGCATTGCTGTTTTTCTCAGTGTTTTAGCATGCACACTGAGAAAGGCATTAGTGAAAATGTTTGTGCATGTCACTCTTCTGCATTACAGAATAATAAAAGTGCAGCAAATGAATTTCAGAAGATGATGTTTTACTCCAAGTTTACATCAGTCAGTTCTACTTAGATTACCTACAGATTTAAATGGTTTAACTGCACCCGATTAACAAGGGTGAAAGCAGTGATCCTTCACTAAAGTATACTACATATAAACAAGTGCAAAATCACTGAATAGTGACACCTTCTGTGTTTATAAGATTTATTGGGAGTCAATCAGGGCAAGTGCATTTACTTTGAATGTCAGAGCAAAGCATTTATTAACTTAAACTTTAGTGTAATATGTGATCTGCTAAATCCAAGGTCAAATCAGATTTTATTTACACAGCATAATATCACAAATCACAGAATTGCCTTTACAATCTGTGACGTATCACACATTTATTGACAATGCAGAGGGTCTAGATACAGTATGGTAGCTGATATACTATGGTGAGAATGAGACCACGTACAAAAAAAAAAGCTGCTTTCTCAGTGGCTGGTGTTCATTAGCAACAGTATGTGTTAACTACACTGCACCTTGGTTGATAAATCATTTATAGTCAAACAGCCATTCAGCTAGTAATTACCGGCTCATAGGACTAGAACGAATCTGGTTCGGGTGTGTTTTACTCGTGGTTTCCACAGCAGCAGTAATGAAGTGCGGTGCCATTACCTAATCCATCCACATTTATCTTCTGTTTGTCCAAACTCATCTGTATCTGTTAATTGGAGCGCTCCCATAGTTGAGCCTGTGGGCAGGTCTGCTGTTCAGACGCGTGACGACAGTAGGGGTTCACTCAGGCCTTCTCCATAGTTCAAGCAAAGGTAATCCCCATTACGCCTCCAAAAAGCTCGACTTAAACTGTGAAATGTTAGCTTAATACATCCTGAGGACTAGTTGTTGACAAGTCTGGCTTTATTGGGATGCTTTACTTCTCACAGAAAACTCACTCAAAAACAGATTGCCTGTGATTATCAATAAACAATCATCACACATATTTGTAGAAATAATCAACTATTATGATCACACACACACACACAACATAAGTGTGCACTACTCACGTATTCAGAGTTTGCACCAAGCAGTGTAGTCTTTTAGGTCCTTCAGCACATCATTAGGATAATCAAGTTGTAGTTTCTTTACACTACCAATGGCTACAGCATCCACTTTGTGAATATTTATGAATCAATCGTTTTAGCATCATAAAAGCATCATTTGTCTTTCTTAAAAAATAGTTTTTAATTTTCTGGGTCTGGTTTAAGTCCATAGTGGAACCGTCAACAAATACTGAAAAGGAAAATTAAAATACCATTTCTAGCCCTCATTGGATTTTAAAAATTTCTTTTACAATATTTGCAAAGAATAAATCATGTGTCATTTAAAGCCTCTCTTTCTTTAAAATATATGGTCATGCACTAATCAAGCAACAAGCTGACCTGGGCTGGTAGAGATAGTGTTCTTAGATGTGTTACACTGCACTTACATTGCATTTTCTTAAGGGACACACACTCTTGTTCTACCAGGTCCGTCATGTTCACGTAGTGGTTTACGGTCAGTAGCTGTGTTGATGGTGAAGTAATGGGCAAAGGTCGAAAGACAGCAGCAACAAGATCAACCTCCTGTGCTGTGTTCATGTCCTGGTGAGTGTCACGTCTGTAGTGAGGTCTGCAGCGCTTTCATGTCCCTCAGCAGCCTCAGATTCTTCCTGCTTCTCTCTCCTGGTCGAACTTTGACTGCTGCAGCAGGGCGCCCTCTTGTGGACGCTGTGCCAGTTGTCCTCACCTCATTCCTACCGCCCCACCTAGAATTGGCTTCTTTTCTTAACTTCTTTATCTAGAGGAGAGGCAAAGAATGTAAAGGACAGGAGATGCAAAACTAAATTTTCTGGTTGTGTGTGAACAGAGCTGTTTTTGAAAACCTACCAATGTTTTGTGTTTGTGGAGCTTACTGATCTGCTCTCCTTTCCTCTCCATTTTCAGCAGCAGCCTCTCCTGCTCTCTCTGAAGTTCTCTTCGTTCCTGTTCTGACACACTGTTCTCCACCTGCCTCATCAACTCATCCTGCTCCCTGCAACACACACACACACACAAAAGTGAACACTTTTGATAAGCAATTCACTCCTTATAGAGCTCAGATGCAACTACACTCACAAGCCCATGAGTCGCAGTTCCTCCTGTAGCGCCTGCAGCAGTTCTGATAGCTCCTCCCCACAAGCAGAGGAGGAAGAGGAGGAACTGTCAGAATGCTTGTACCCAGCCATCTCACAGCTGTCTGTGTTGTTAGACAGGACTCTGTTGTTGCAGAGGTGTGGCTGGTGTTGCTTCAGGAGAGACAACACGGACTGGACATTTGCTCTGACTGAGTGGCTGCAGCCTACTGACTGAACAGAGGCAGAGAGAGCCAGAGTAAGGGAAGTGCAGCATTAAAAACAGAATACTGTATTAGTTCAAATATTAAACCACAAATGTATTTCCATACTACCGTTCCAGCAACAAAAGGTACATCTCTAAGGCTCAGTCTATAGTGTGGTTGTGTGTAGGACGACTGCTGCAGTGAAGATTTATGGAAAAAGAACATTAGCATAAACCACATCAAGAAAAAGCAGAGATGATCAGACTTTCATCAGTTTTATACTATTTTACAACATGCACTTAATTTTCGACTTGATTCAATACGATATTCACAGATGTACTATAGTGTAGAGAAGCATTGGACTGCAGCTGCCTTGTCTCCTTTGTTTAAACATCTACTTATAAAGAGGGAAGGAAACATTCTCAATGTGGCGAAGCAGGCATAAAACCCTCAACTGCTAGTGTGAAGGTCTTTACCTTTGAATTGGATTTCTTTTCTTTGGACCGTCTGGTGGAACGGCAGGGTGACACCGACTGCAGCAGGATCCTGTTGGCCTCCAAACCTGTATGTAGCTGAGGAATGAGGAGTGAAAGAAAAAAGAAAAAAATCACCACACACAAAAAAAGATATGGCAATGTGCACATGGCCATTTCAACATATAAATGTCTGCAAAACAAGGCTATGCCTCCTTTCGGATATAATGCACATTCCAAAGGTGCCAGTAGTGAGGGCATGGAAGACGACGTTAGCTACAGGGAAATACAAATCACTGTGTTATTACCTGGTTGGCCTTGTCCTGGATGAGCTTCCTCTGGTGCTCCTCCTCCTGCAGCTTCAGCTCCAGCTCACGAATCTTCATCTGATATTCAGACACACACAGTCATCATTACTGTACTACTGCTGAATATAATAACTTTAAAATGGATCTTTCACTGACCGCTAAGTAAGGCTGAACCATGGCAACACCGAGGAGGTTAAAAAAACAAATCAACTGATGCTATTTTTCTAACTGATATTTCACATCTTACCTGAGCATTGTTCTGTGTGCGTGTGAGCCTGAGATACTCCTGTTCCAGTCGCTCTAGCTTCTATGTACCTGAGCATTGTTCTGTGTGTGTGTGAGCCTTAGATACTCCTGTTCCAGTCGCTCTAGCTTCTCCAAATGGATGCGCTCAGACACTGTGTCAGGATGTTGATCAGCTGACTTGGCTGTCTCCATGGAGACCTGACAGTGTGGGGAACAGTTAATACATATCTACACGTTTATTCTCATACACACGAGAGGCTTTAACTCAACACATTGCATTGTGCATTTAAACTGAAGAGTCTTAGCCTCTATATCGCAGCTTATGACATTTAGGAACACTGGTTAACCTGCTGTTTGAGAAGACTGGTCCTGTCCGCCTTGGCACTGCGCAGCATCCTCCTCATGTGATCCAGCTGTCGCTCCAGCTTCACGCAGCGAGACTCTGCAGCAGCCAGGTGGGTGATCAACACTACGAGAAGGAAGACGGTACTCCATGAGGCACAAAGAAGATGGAGAAGACTCAAGGAAACAAATAGATATGACGATGGCAAAAAGTCAGTGAAATCATTATATTGTAAATCACATACCGACCTTGGTTACAGTTGGATGGGTCTCTCATCTCTCTCTGTGTTTCTGTCTGATTATTAAAGTGTCTCTGTGTGACTTTCTCACTCTGCACACGAGTGTGTGACCCATCTTTCCCCATAGTGTGCAGGCTGAGCTCTGCATGTCCCTTCTCCAACTCTAATCTCCTGATCTTCTCCTGGAGGTTCCTCAAGGCAGATAAGATCGCTGCACACACACACACACACACACACACACTGTGAGTGAGAGATTATAAATAAGACTGTGATGTATATGGGACCCAGTGATAGACTGGTAACCTGTCCCGGATGTGCCCTGCCTCTCACCCAATGACAGCTGGGATTGGCTCCAGCCCTCGTGACCCTCTGCAGTATAATCAGTATAGATAATGGATGGATGGATGTATATGGGTATATAGTGATACATTTCAAACCCATTTGGGGCATAGTGTAATAAGATATGATTCTGAGGTTTGGATCGAAGAAGCTTAGAAGCTTAGAGAGGATAATGTAAAAGAATGAATAGATGTTGGTGCAGCTGAGACATTCAAGTAGTGTGGCATCAAGTTACACATGTAACCATGGAGCTCTGACACACCACAATGCCTTAATGGAAACTTTACAAAGAGAAAATCCACACGCAGACACAGATGCATGAATTAAACTTACCCGCACTGCTGCTCTCAGGAAAGGCCTTGCTGGCCGATGACAGGCGACACCACTGATGTGTGCGTGTTTGGGGTGTGTGATGCACAAGCGTGTTGATGAAGGGACGGTGAACAGGATACTCTTCATAAGATGGCAGGGACAGGCTGTCAGATACTACTCCACTGGGTGGTGGCGGTGGGTAGAGCTCCTGAAGAGAAACGGGCTAAATGTTGAACAGCATCCACAACATCTGGCAAATGCAGATATTCACATTGTATGTTCAGGACGTATCGGTAATGTAGCTGTTAATAGAGATACTGTAGTGTAACGCACCATCTATCGCAAGAGCTAATGTTAGCTAATTAAACAGGAAAAAAGGTGACATAGGTTAAATCTGAACTGAAACCTAAAATTCGTGCACTAATTGAACTTAACGTTGCAACATAATGTGTTATTTCGAGCGCCGCCAACACTTTAAGGTGAAACTTCACTATCTACTTCTGCAGCACCAGCTGGTCCGAACTGTAGCAAATGCTGCTAGATAACGTTAGCTAGCCAACTCTGTAGTCAATATGTACAGTGTCAAACCGATTTTGTTCTTTATTTTAAGTTAAATTGGGCAAAATCTAGCAAAGGTACCTTCTCCCGCGTAGCATCAGCCACGGTCCCCATTGAAATTTAGCCAATCCGATTCGGCTCGCTTGTGCTGAACCACAAGGTAAAATAGGCAACAAATAAACTATAGCGGATCCGTTTTGGTGACGAGTGACAGACTTGCTAGCTAAGTACCATTTCCAGAACTGCGGGGTTTATAAAGAAAACATCACTTCAGGAGACGCACAACCCAGTGTCTCCGGAGGGTGTGAGTGATATTTATCACAGCCTGGCCCGTAAGGCGGTGCATGCGTAGACATTAACACTATTTTAGAGAGCCAGTAAGTCCGGTGTTATTCTACGTATGAAACAAGCGCACAATGCTTGC